TGGCAACTCAGAGTGTCTTGAAATGACATGGGATTATCCTAACACTGAGGTTAGAGTAGCTACATGTGGTGTACACAATAATTTTCCATGTGGAGTAATTGTTTGAGGGATGAGTATGAAAAAGTCCAAACCTAAAGCAAATCTCTATGTCCCAGGTACCTGTACTAGTAGGATTTGTGTTCCACAGCAGAGCTCTGTGTTGTAACATTAACAACCCATATTTGATCAGACCCATATGTGCAAAGTCATTGTGAGTTTTAAGAGTGGAAGATGGTGTCTAATGAAGTTGCTGCTGTTCCTCTTACTCAGAACAGCAGGCCCCCATGTTAGCAGAGCTGTGCCATTTTAAGCAATGTCAGTCTGGGTTTCAGGAATGCATTTGTCTTAGTCAAGTGATCCAAATGCTTTTTTTGCCTGGGCCATTCTTTTAAAAGTTACCCTGAAGTTTTGAATAACAGTACAGTAACACCTTTTTTCTAGCATGAATAGAGGGAGAAAATAGCTCCCCATATAAAACATAAAATTCCAGGAGTGCTGGAGTAAGCAGGTGTGGGTGAGTGTGCACTTTTGTACCAGCAGGGCAAATGTCCCATCCTCCCCTTCTGACCATGTCAGTGCATGGGGAAATCAGCCAGACCCATTCTCCTCATCTTACCCTATGAATTTCCATGTCATCTCCATTGGTCTTTGAAGTGCTGGGCACAGGTAACTGAATGAGTACCATCTCAGAAACAGGGCTGTTTATATCCTCTCCTCACTCCTAGCATGCCTGTGCAGTCTGAGCCACTGATTGACCCCTATTGATCTCATTTGACTGCACTTCTGTGGAGTAGACAAACAGTGCAAGAGAATCCAGGGACTCTAATTCACAGTACCTTATTTAGGTTTCTGGGCAATAATTCTTATTTGCATTAATCACTTGCATTAATCACGCAGAACCCGAGGCTGCCTCTTGCCTTCTCTGCATTCCTGCCCCTGACAATGGAACAAAAAGGTATCTGCTCTGAAGAAAGAGTGGTTTAAGTATATTGACACTTGATGCTTAGTAGTTGCAAAACTTAACTGTTAGAAAAAAAAGACATTTTTTCAAATCAATGACTCACGCATTACTGTAAAATATATCGATTAAAAACAAAGCATAATGTTAGTCATTTAGTCAGTAGAGTGATGCAATACTGAAATAAATTTATCCCTTGACTTTTGCATTAACCTTTTATTGACTGCTTGCATACTCATAATTAACACACACTTTAGCTAGCTTGGTTAATTTTAGCATTGTGATCAGTGTCCTCTAATGTAGATGACACCCTGATCATCAAAAACCAGTGCAGCCCAGGGAACCATGACCAGGCAAGTGTCTGTCTCAGTGGATGCACCCCTGCCCAGGGAGATACCAGCCACCTTCCAGGGAAAGCATCATCAGCTGTTATGCAAATAGTCAAACAGTCATACGAATGCTTGTCATCACTTAGTTGAACATATTAATAAATATTAATAAATATTAATGAGCAAAGTCCGCTTGTAAAAAACAGACAAAAAGGTTATGAAAAATCTGAGAACTTTAGAGGGTAGAAGTAGTGAGAACATGCTCTTCAACAGTAACTAAAAATGTGCTTTTTAAATTGAAACTGTCACAAGTCTTGATTGTTTTAGTAAGAAAGTAGGGACTATGGAGTTTTGTGCATTCTATAAACAAACAATTCTTTCTATAATATGTTATTGAAAACTTACTGTCAAGGTGTTGCAGCTAAATTGCTCTGAAATATATCACAGCAGTTTTCCTGTTCTCCTGCTGCAGATAAAGTATTGAAGGAATCTATTCTGTATATCAAAGTTTATGTGATTTCCACTCTTTATACAGTTTTTACATATAATATGCAGAGGTTAGTTCTATTTTCTTTTGGAGTTTTGACTCTAGTAACTCAAATAACAGTTTTAAATTGATATGGAATATTTTCATTAACTTACAATTGTAACTCTTTATACTTTCCCACTACCACCACAGCTCAATGTTTGCAGCCTTTTTTTGTTTTTTTAATCAGGAGTTATTGTTGCTAACTCATTTTAACTGTCAGATACAAAGAATTTTAAATCATTCTGTGCAATCATTTAGATGCCTTTGATTGTTCTGCTTCAGTTTAAAATGTTGCTCTGCTTTTGGCAAGATCTTCAGCTCTGTTCCACTTCTACAAATTAAAGACCATTGTAGGAACAATTTATATGCTCATCTAGAAAGGTCTGGTTTTTGCACCCTAGTTCTGAGTGAGAAAGGACATTTTTCACCATGTTCCAGATTGTGGGAGCTATTCACATGGATTGCTTATTGAACTGCCAGGTGCAGCAGTGACTGCCTAGAACCAGCCCCATAGCTTTGAACATGAAAATCTTAAGCTGTCTTTGATGTCAGCAGATCCAGCACAGGGGTTGTAATTTTGGTCAAAATAGATGATTGAGAGATTATAAGAATAGGTATCATTCCCTGCTGTTCTTGCTAGTATGGAGCAAAGCTGTAGAAATCCAACAGAAGGAGGAAAGCACCATGGCATCACTGAACTTGGAGTGCTTTCCCTTTTTTGTATTTTTACAGCACATTGATGCATTTCTGTCTCCAGACTGGCACAGCAAGTCTGAGGACCTGACACACTTGCACTCCTCTAGTCCCTCCCATGGAATATGCTGTGGTTAAAACCTCCCCAGCTGCCTGATCTCCTGGAAGCTCTGGCACGTGCTTGGTTGTGGGGAGACCTCTCAGCAAAGGCTCTGCTGGTACAAATATAGAAAAGGGAAAGTAGCAAGCAGTGGCTCTTGGGCTGTCCAGGCAGAGCATCACCATCACTGCCACCACATTTACAGCAACAAAAACACCCACATGTGAGGGAGAAGCTGGTCAGTCTGTTTCTGTGAGAGAGCAAGGGAAAAAAAGACATGAAAGGTAAAAAGAGGACTCTGAAATGCTGAGGAAGCTAAAGGTTGATATATCTTTTCTCTAAGTGAAAACTTTTATTAGATGTGGGAGAGAGAAAATGTTTATTATTATTATTAGCTGAGTTTTGCAGATCACATAACATGCCTGCAGTATTTACTGGCTGAGCTTTGTGATTTGTCATCTGCAATAATCATTACATGGTTAATTTATCCACTTTAAGATGGAAATGCTTAAACTGGAATGTCTTATACTACCCACCAAACTGAGTGTATTATTTTGTGCCAAGACAGAAAATAAAGCAAGCTTTTAGAAGCCTTATAGAGTTATGCTGTAATTAGTTTCAGCTTCCCCTGCATATTAATTTTCTCCTGTTCCTTTATATAATTTGGAAAATGTCTTCAGAACATGATGGCACAATCAGTTAAGTACCTCTCAGAACTCACACACTAAACTGCATTTGCTATAACAACTATTATAAAGCAGCCAGCAAAACAAATCCTCTGTTATTCTGTACAGTGCAGCTTATCAATGCAAACAGTTTAATATTTATGCTAAGAGGATTGTCACAAGTAGCTTCTGTTCCTTTAATTCTTGTTTTAAATAAATAATGAGAACATTTAAACACATTACTCTTCCCAGGGCCCTGAGGTCGGCTAATCTTATTATTTATGAAGTGATGTGCTACATAATAGTACTTAGTGCATGTTAACAGATGCTATTATCAGGGGCTGATGTGGAGAGCTGAAGATATATTGGAATGCTCTGTGTTAATACTGTCCTTGCAGTGTAATGTACGATGGATTGAGTGCCCAGGATGCTGGTGCAGCAATTAACCACCCACCAACATGGGTGTAAAGCTGAAGGATGTTTTCTCATGGGGATTACACTGCTATTAATAATTCCCAGGAGAAGAAGACATCTTTCATTTGGCAACAGTCTCTTCCAGAAGGTCAGTGGTGTGGACAAGGAAGTTGAGTGTGTCAGTACTCTTGGAGTTCATTCTGCTGAGGTGAAAGATGGATATATGTTTAAAACAGCTTTAAAGTTCTTACAAAAGTTATGTGCTTTATGGAAGACAAATTTTTAAAAATGTTATACAAGAGATAAAAGTGCATTTCTGCAATTTGGTTGTTATCTCTTTAAAGAGCTATATAGACCTGCAGTATGTACCAAAATTAGGGTAATTCTCAGCATTTTTCTTTTTTTCCCCATTGTAAATATAACTAATTAATCAGTAATGTGCAAATTTTTTGAGAGGAAGGGGAAAAAGGGGGGGAGAAATCCTCCTTGAGCTGTGACAATGTTTTTGATGTGGCATTTATTAGTCTAATCTTTAGAGATGTGATGGTTGCCACTTATAAAAACTTTCCTCTGCAGGCTGCAGTTCAGTTTAATATTATAATTAGACTTCACTAGTATTGATGAATAATCCATTTAATAAAAAACATTGTAATTTAAACATTTTCTCTGGGGACTAACATACACTAGCCTCTTAATTTAATTTTATTGAAGTTTTGCCCACCCATTCATCATTGGAAGTTGTTATTAACCTCCATTTCCATTTTTCTTTATAGAATTTTCTCTTTTTATATTGCCTTTTTCTGTGCTAAGCAGGTTGATACACTTGTAAATCTCCAGAATCTACAAAGCTAGTCTGGCTTCTTTAATGTTGTTTAATCTATCCCCCCTGACCCTAATGCAGTAAATTCAGTTTAATCTTTCTCAATAATCTAGTAATACATTGGAAACCAGCAAACATTTAAATCTGATAATGATTTAATCACATACTTTAAATAACAGCTGAGATAATGAAAAAATAATTCACCATATAAAGGAACACTAACTGAGTTTTCTCTGTGATTGGCTTTTTGAGAAATCCCTATAGAAAATACAAAGCCTACAACTGAAATCAACTTCACTGGAAATGTGCAATCCACTTGGTGTCAGAAGATGTCGTATTTCTTTTTTTTATCATCTTTCTCTCTAAATTAATGCTCAAATGTATCCTTGCTGAGTATTCAGTTTCTTGATACAGTTTTACTTAAGTGGTTTATCTGCTTACCTTTCTTTTCAGATGCCAGTCAGATGCAGCAGAGAGCTTGCCAGAGGACCAGAGACCAGAATGCCATCCCTTCTGGACAGATGATGATGAATGTAATATGCCTCTGCCATATGATCTAGAAGAAGTAATTGCTTATCTACAAAATCTTGTTCAATGGATAGAATAACAAGTGACCTTCCAGCCTAGAATTATTGATGCTGGTCATCTGGGGAGAAGCTTTGTTATCATAAATCTTTTAAGCTTTATGATTTCTTGATTGTGTGTTATTTTGTTTGTCAATGCAGATTTTACCAGTCTTTAAACAGTAGCTTAGTTACTGTCTCATAATAAAAAGGACCAGCCCCCAAATTTTACAGAAGTGTGTGTTTTTTAAGGCATAAAGTCCAGAACACCAGCTTTAGTTCCCTCCTCCTCCACTCTATTTCCCATTGACCCTGCAGCCCAGGGATGTCTGTGTATCACAGACTCACAGGATGGGGCAGGTTGGAAGGGACCACAGTGGGTCACAGGGCCCAGCCTCCCTGCTCAAGCAGAATTCCCCAGAGCACAGGCACAGGGCTGTGTCCAGACAGTTCTGGAATGTTCCCTGTGAGGGAGACTCCACAGGCTCTGGCCAGGCTGTTCAGTGCTCAGGCCCTGCACAGCAGAGAACTCCTTGCTCATGTCCAGGTGGAACTCCCTGGGCATCATTGCTGCCCCTTCCTCTGTCCCATTGCTGGGCACCAGGAGCAGAGCCTGGTCCATCCTCTGACACCTCCTGCAGATACTGACAGCCATTATTGTCCCCTCTCAGCCATCTCTTCTTGAGGCTGAGCAGGCCCAGCTCTGCCAGTGTTGACACATTGCCTTGGTATCTAAATTTCAGCTTCCATGAGTGCCTAGAGCTGTCTCTGGCCTGGCAGGTTTGAGCTACCCAAGGTGTAGCTCACACCTGTGGCAAAGCAGACTGCATGATCTGGGCATCCTAATGAGAGGCCAGCTTGGGGTGAGCCTGTTGGAGATCTTCAAAACAGAGCTGTGGATTCTCAGTCCAGTAACACAAAGGGGCAGGAGATGTTGGAGATATTCCTTTGTGCAGTGGCTCCTTCTCAGAGCATTTTTTCAGGTGAGGAATTCTGTGGGAGTATTCTAATATTCATCCCAAGACTTTATTACTGTTTTGCCTCATGGCAACAGAGTACTACTAAGAGAGATTTCTGATGTGAATCTGTACATCCTGGGCTCCCTGGAATCCAGAATTCAGTTCCTAACCATTGCTTTGTATCTGCATGTTCTGAATCCTATTCTGAGGTCAGGTTTCCCAGTACATTGCCTAAAGAAGTGATGGACCTAAGTAAGACCTTCCATTTAGGTTGTTTGGCTCTCTGAGAAACTGGATTTAGATTGTGTAATGTTGGGAATTGCAGCATCAAGTGAGATCTATGAGCACAAACCCAAAAACTATGAAAAAGGAAACTGTGATGTTTTGTAGTAATGTGCTATAAAAAGAACAATTCTGTGTGGGATGATACAGGGTGCTCCTGAATGAGATAGAAAATTTTGTTTTAGTAAATTGCTATTTTATCTGAACTGGTTGGACTGGTGTCCAACATTACCACAAAAAGCAGAAAATCAGTATGGTGAAAAAGCACTCAGGCTGTATTACCAAAGAAGCCAGTAAGCTTCAGAGTTTGACATTGCCACCAAGAAATGAATATGACTCCTGTGTTAATGTGGTGTTTAAAGTCTCTGCTGAGGCTGAGCTCACCCAGAACACACCAGCTTCTGTACTGGCAAAGTTCTGTGTGTGTGGATGAGGCTTGTGCTCCAGAAAATTGTGCTTTTGACAGTATAACATATGCCAGACCTCCCTGGAGCTAAGGAAGCTGTGCCAGTAAAAATTCAGTTTTAGTGGTATAAAACTGTGTCCACACCTACCAGCTTTTGCCAGGACAATTATATCAAGTAGAGGCTGTACCTCATAAGACTTTAGGTAAAGCTGTGCCAGCAAAAGTAAAAGTACCTGAATCAAGTGTTTCCATCATAGTCATGGGCTTCTGTGAAAACTTTTCGTTATCCTGTGGAATGTAAAGACTCTCTGAAGAATAAGTTATTACTTAAACTAGGTTTGATAATATTACCATGATCCACACATTTATCTGTTGTCTCTTGTGCCATAGATTTCATAACATTTGGAAATACTGCTATGGGCATAGCTTTCTCTTCCCTGCACTAGTTAAAGCTGGCTTTACCAGTGGCACATTTGGATTAGTGCCACACAAAACACTGTTTACTTTGGAGATCGCTCAGAGAAAAGCTAGCTGAAGATGTGGGAATTCTGCTTTTGAAAAGGCAGTTCTCAGAAACAGATATTGCTTTGGAAATGAGCAATATGAATTCAGACAAGCTAATGTTGTAACAGTGTTAGCACAATGTTTACGGGGACTGTTTATTTATGCTGTTATGTTATGATTACTTTGTGTTTAATTAAGCACTGCTAAAATCCATGGGGATCACAGTATTGAAAGAAATCTGACCACCACAAAGGGGAGAGAAGGCACATCAATGATGTAGTTTGTAGCTGAAGTGGAGGCAAAGCTATTAAAAATGATTGGCAAATAATTATTTCCAGCAGCAGTAAAAATAAAACCAAACCAAAACAATCCCAAACCTATTAGGAGACTGCTGGCAGTAATAACAGAATTTTTAGAATACATGTTCCCAGGTCTTGCCTATGTTTGAAGATTTAAGGTAGTGAATTAGCTGAACTAGTATTGGTCTCAGTGCAGTCAGATCCCACTTATCTGAGCCATCTTTAGCAAGGATATGGACAAATGAATACCTTTGGAATAAGACTGCCAAAATACCAATAATCAAGTGGTTTAGGGCTCGGTGTTGCGTTCCAGTCTTGCATCATCTAAATCAGTATAACCTGGTTGTTTTCAGTTGAAATGCAGAAGTATGAGAAGATTTCATATCTCCAAAGCCCACAGGAGTTGACAGCAATAACATGAGTAAGGTGGTGGAACTATTTGAAGCACAGAGTAATGCCAAAGGGTACCCCAAAAGGAGAACACAGTTAAAAGTAAATATATATTAAAAAAACCTGAGAGATCAACTATAAATTATTGCTGTGTTTAGATTATGTGTTAGAAGCTGACAAATGCTTTGAAGATTTCTTTATTTTATTCAAGTAGTTGTAATTTAGCTTGTTTAAATGATTTTTTAGCAATCCATTTATATTCCAGCATTAGATAACCCATTTCCTTTTTGAAAGAGCTGGAAGACAGAGCCTCTAATTAATGTTCTACGTACAGCAATTGTTTGCCAAGCCTGGATGCTTTAGAAGCATGAGGACCAAGGTCAAGTTTTTTCAAGGAAGAGGTGAGAGCATAAATTAACTTCTGACATTAAATTCAGTGGCTCTTTTAAAATGGTGAAGTTCACGATTTTGCTTACATTTACTTTTCATCAGCCTGGACTGAAATGAGGTAAAATAGTTCACTTGCACATGTGTGTCAGGCTAAATGGATTGCAGAAGATACAGATCTGTTTGCCTGTCTGCACTTGCCTTTAGACAATATTCATCAATTTTACAAAAGCTACTGACTAAACATGGAACCAGTACAAATGAAATGCTCAAGGCAAGGGCTTTCTTTTATAAATCTGATACAGAGTTGGTTTTACACTGATAGAAAGAAAATGTTGGCAGAAAATGAAAAACTTCTATTGTTTCTGTAATTTGGGGGATGAAAGATACAGACTGTTTTTAAGTATTTGATAGAAAACTGCTGTGTTATGCAATGTAATTAGAGATGTTTTTATAATGCTTTGTTCATATCCGTGTATATGAAAATATTTTATCCCATAGGTCCTTTCTTCTGCTGAAAAGGTTATGTAAATAAATAAAATTAATCTCAATACAGTAGATTTTAAAGGCATAATACTTATGTTCTAAGCTTTACAACAGGTTCTGATTATTTAAAGGGTAAATAAGAATGCCATGAGTAATCACTGACTGAAAACTATGCAGGATGGGTAACATGCACCATAACAAATATCCAGATCAGTTGTCTTATTATCATCTGAATATGGTTTTAGGTTCACTGGTAGTGGTACAAGATGCAATATAAAATCATGCTGGATTACTTAATGTAGAGGGGCAGATTCAGGGATTCCATTCATGTCGTAGCACAGAAATCAAAAATATTATTAAAATCCATCATGAAAGGTGATTAAAATATAGTAGTGAGTAAAGAGCTGGCATTGCTCCTTTCTCAGTTACAGCAGTGCTGTTCCATTAGTCCTGTGCCATGCAGTGGAGTTTGGGCTGTTGGATATTGAGCCAGGCCAGGCTTAGGCTTGTGTCTAAACTGGGCTGAGAGCAGGGCCAGAGAGACGAGGTGGGATGCACAGGAGACCCAAGGGATGTGATTTTTCAAGGCCACAGCTTCATTAGCTGGACTCATATGGGAGTCATTGAGCTCAAAGTTGTACAGTGCAGGTCAGGATCTCTCCCTTAATTGTTACCACCTGGTGCAAAGTTAATGTTGGCTCCCTAAACCCCTCCCTGGCCCTGACTGCCAGTCCTCAGCTTTCTGCTGGGAGCTGACCACTCTCAGCTCACACCAGGATTACAGAGTTGGGAAGAATGGTTGTTCCACTGTAGCAACAGGGATGAGAAACTCTCATCCCCAGCTTTAGCCTCCACCTCTGTCCTGCTACAGCTCCACAGAGTAAGTACCTCCAAACATTCTGCTTCTCATTTGAGATTCAGGTTGCTGCTGCTCATCTTCTGTCCTGTCCCACCAGGACAGAGATCTGACACAGGGAAGGGCCAGACAAGAAGAATTCTGTTTGCATGAGGTTCCTCATCAAAACCAGACACCCACTGCACTCCTCATAAGAGTGAAAAGTTCAGGAGTGCAATAATCTGCCTTTAGAGGGTGGGAGCTGCTAGAAAGTGATGAAGGACTCTGGCCAAACCACTAGCATTTGTTGTTCTGTAGGACTCCCATCCTGCCCTGTCCTTCTCACCCCAGCTGTGCAGGCAGAGGCAATCCTGAACAGAGCCTCTGTTCTCTGTCCTGTCCAAAGTGACTCCTCACCTTCAATGTGGCTGGGCTTGCACCTTCATTTACATTCATCTGTCCCCTTCATTTTAGCCTGAGGGCATTCATTGAACAAGAGAAGATAATTTATACAATTACAAAAAGATTGTACATAGAAAGGCTACAGAACTGGCTGAATAACATGTAAAATAAAAGCCAAGAAATAACCAATAAAATTACCACATTAAAATGCTGATATTTAAGCATGAGCACTTCACATATCATGGGAACTCCTGTTTCTCTTCTTGTTGCTTAGGA